AAACTTCACAGTAAAGTTTCCCCAACTGCACTGCTAGTGGCCCTATAAACTTAGGAGAGAGTACCCTGTGAAATCATAGAGATAATAAACACAGCTTTAAAGCAAAATATATTCATTGACTGTAGGTTTATAAGGCATGTGATGACACCAGCCCTCTTCATCGTTATTCCTATTGGGATCTTAAGTTATGTGACATCCTCAGAAACTCATTCTTCTCTAAAATTGACAAAGTCTGTACTTGGTGGTTTTCACATCAGGCACACCAGATTATTCCCATTCTCAGATAAGGGAACTGAGAGGTTAAGCAACTTTATTAAGGTCCCAGAAATAGTAAACAGCAGAGCCAGGACCAGAATCCAGGTCTTGTGATGTTTAATCTGGTGTTTTTTTCACCATAATAGCAGGAACTGGTCCTTAACCCTTTAGAGGGTATGTCTTTCTCCTTTCTATCCAAATGCCACTTTCACCCATGTGTGTACACCTGTCTGAACTCTCAAGAAGTCATGGGGTCCCAGCACCAGGTAGCCCTTCAATAGTCTGATGCGGGGTAGGGGTCTTAACACTGGGACACCTTGGAATCAGCCGGGGAGCATCCCCAGAGCAGCCTGGGGTTCTTTGGTCCTAAAATTATGACATATTATTGTTTAATATTGCTACTAGAGAACAGAAAAGGATCTGCCCATTCAGTCTGCTTCAGATAAGGTCATGGAGTTTTGACTGGATGTCATTTCTGCAGATTATGTCAGGAGAAGTCAGAACCCTTTTCCCTTTGAAACAGATGCCTGGTTTGGGGCAAAACCCTTTGAGTCTTCTCCCTGCAAGGTAAAGTTCCACATCTCACGATATGAGACAGAATTCATCCATGGGATGCTGTTAGGGTGGATGGCCAGTCACACCAGCTGCGGGCTGGAAGGACAAGAGCCCTAGCTGAATGCTGAGCATTGCTGCCTTGAGTGTGCTGCTCTAAAAGTGAAGGATCGGTCCTTGACTGCTCTCTGACAGGGTCGAAACGTCCACTGTGTTGTAATTTAACACTCAGGCCTCGTCAAGAGAAGGGAGTCCCCCTGATTTTGACAAGACCGAGACCTAATATAATCATTTATATCCCCTCCAAGAGGCCCAGTCTCCTCCAGTTCAGTCCCTATCTCCCCTCACCCTGACCACTCTCATCCCATATTAAGCAGTATTTACTAGGATGCTGGGAGGTGTGACCAACTTGCCCAGTTTGGAGATGTTTGTCCTTTTCCTCCACTGATGAGGCTGTTTTTTCCCTTTGTGAGCTCTGCTGACTTTTAACAATAACCCACCAATGCCGGAAATGGCCCCAGGTTCTTCCAATATCTTGGCACCTAAGACACAACCTAGATCAGTGAGTTCCCCCTTGGGTCCAGCACAGCAGGTCAAATTCCATACTCAGTCACAAGTAGAAAGAGTCTAGCATTGCCCATCTAGAATGTATAATTTTACAGAATCGATCATTTCTTATCTGGGGGTGACCCTATCCAAAAATAAAATACTAGGTAGAGCTTAGAAGGTGTGTCCAGTGAGACAAGAAAGAAGAGGAAGAGAAACCAAAGATGGATTTGAACTACCTGCAAACATCAGCCCCTGGCACTGGTTGCCCACACACTTCATCCCAATTTCACATGAGAATCCTCCCCATTTTAATATCCCCAGTCACCAAGATCAACCAGCCTCATTAACCAGCTAGCTGGTTGTTACATTTTGGTTCTCTGACCCCAGATACTATATGGAAATTTAATTTTCCTCCCAAGTTATCTTCTCAAAAAAGAGCCTCAGAAATATTTACGTAGGACGGCCTTGTCCCTGGGATGGCAAATAGTTTCTACTCATATGTGAATTCGGACTAATTAATAGTGGTTGCCCAGACAGTTGCCACGAGAGGGGCTTGAAGACAGATTTGGGGCGTAGTGGGCAAAAGCACTATTATGGCTTAGGGGTATCTTAGCTCTGGTAGCAGATGATTATTCTGCTGACCTTGTGAAGACGCTAGAGCCCTGAGAGGAGCCTCAGCTGTGGGGTGTGGGGAGGAGCCTCAGCTGTGGGGTGTGGGGAGGAGCCTCAGCTGTGGGGTGTGGCTTCCTTCCGCATTATCCTCTGGTCACTTGCTCACTTGAACATTCTGCTGCTGTCTCGTTCCCGCCCACATATCTCAAAGCCCAGCCCTGAGCCTTCTAGCAGGGCAGCCTTCTCTGCCTCTCCACCTGGCACAAGCCATGTGGAGTACAGTCCTCTGAGAACTTGACCAACTTGAAGCTATCTTGTGTTAAGCAGCCGTGTTAGGTCAAGCTGCAGGGTTACATTCCTTTTTACAACAGGAGGAGCCCCTCCCTATGCCTCACGACCCCGTGTAAGGCCTAAGGAATGCAAAAGCATCCAATAGCCAAGAAAACACTGAAATAAGGGAAAGTGCGCCAGCCTTGTGTGTTGTTTCCCAGCACAGTGGAAGCATACCTGTAATCATTCCCCTGCACATCAGTTCTCCACCGTTCTACCATTAAAGCTTAGCTAGCAGGGTGAACACGGGATGCTAAACGTGCTGTCTGAATGCTGTCCACCGCTCTGTATAACCCCTCATAATGTTGTTTACTTGCCGAGTTGTGTTTACCCGGGTCGTTCTTTGGCGGGTCAGGGCCCTCTCAGCTTGGGGGAAGGTGCTTCTTTTACATCTTCCCTGGGAATTGACGCAGCACCATGGAGCACTTAGTGAGAGGCTGAGGTCCCCACAGGCTGCTGATTATCCTCTGGAAACAGGGCTGTGGTTTCACCTGAAAGTGACGTGGGCCTTCCAACACCCCGAAGGCACCTCTTAGGGGAACTTGCTCAAGAAGGAGCTGCTTTCCTGGCACAGTGAAAACTTGCCCTTGCCAGGTCTGGCACAGAACTGGTTACTTTGGGCTCACTGCACAGTCCTGGCTCTCAAGGAACACTCTTGTCCATATGGGGTGAAAGGTACGTTCATAGGAAATGATTAAGTCACATTGGACAAGATGCGTTTGTGTTATGTTGAGTGAGATTTTGGGTGTGTGGGATATACTGTGGGGTTAGCCTTGTTGAGAGGAAAGGAAGGCAGGATTAAGGAAGGAGGTAACCCGTTTAAGAAGTGCAAGTGGGAGGTGGGAAGAGAAAGCTCTCCAAGCCTGCGTCCTTCCGTTAGATCGTATCCTGGCCCAAGGTTTTATGTCTGTGGGAGAAGGGCTTTGGAAAGACCTGGCTTGCAACGTAGGTGTTTTTGGTCACTTCTTCCAGAATCTTCACGGTGGCTTACACTTACAGTGCTATTTAAAGTCTGAAAGGACATCGAGTGCTAGTACTAACAGTTTGGTGTCTGTGGAGACAACTGGAAATATAATTATGATCAGCACTAGGTCCAGTCAGAATTGTAAGCTGATTTGAGAGATGACATTGCTTAAAGTACAAGCAAGGAGCAGCCAGTGCTGGTAGCCCTCCTTCTCACAGCTCCCACAGACAGAAGGGCAGGACATTTTTTACTTTCTGTGTACCTGTCCCTGTGTGGATTCTGGAGGGTAGCCAAGGTTCTTCCTGCCATTTTTTCAAGAGGAGAAGAACTGCTCATACTCACCTATACAATTCAATTCTATGCAAGTCCTGAGCTTGTTAGGAGGCTGTGAAACAGCCCCTATCCACATCCTCAAACACATGGAAATGGGAATGATGTTTATGGGCCACATACTTTGGTGTCCTTCCCTCAGATTCCTATTGTTCCAGATGGCCCTTAAGTTGGCTACTGTAATAAAGCCAGGAGAATGTAACGTATCCTTTTCATGTCTAACCCACATCCAAGGGCTGATCCAATGATCAATGTTTGGGCCAGTGATACCCAAACTTTAGTGTGCAGCAGCCCCTACAAAGGGCTTGTTAAAACACAGCTTGCTGAGTCTTAATCCCAGAATTTCTGATTCAGATCTGTGGGTGGGGCCTGAGAATCTGCATTTCTAAGTTCCCAGGCGATATTGATGCTCCCATCCAAAGACCATGCTTGAGAATCATTGACCTAAGCCAACTGTTTTTCAGCTTGCTGGCTGTATGTTAGGATCACTTGCAAAGCTAAAAAATAAAATACACAGGAAGTGCCCAGATCATATCTCAGATAAATTTCAACAGAATCTGTGTGGGTGTCACCAGACATTAATATTTGTAAAGAACCCCAGTGATTCTGATGTACAGCCAACGCTGAGAATCACTGATGTAGGTTCTTGAGTCAGATGCCCGTTAACGCAGATGTACTAGGTAAAAAGTAGAACCAAGTGTCTCCCACCTTTGATTCTGAGGCAGGACACTTTTGTAGTCTGGGCATCTTTCCTTGGGATGGATGTTGCTGGCGATGATGGTGGATCATGATTTAGATAAAGGTTGAGCAGAATGAAGAAGGCTGAATTAGCAACAGTGAAAAATGCTAAACAAGCTGATAGGGAAACAGAAAATTATTTCTGGGCAGCAGTGAAAGATCTCTGTGAAGTAGAAACTATACATTTATTTGGGGACTCTTCTCCAAAACTTTTCCCCAGTAGCTGTTAGCGGGCAAAGAAAATGGACATTTCAACAGATCCAGGGTTAAACTTCCTAGGCAGTTGCAAACAGTAAGGCAAAGGAGTAAGGAATATTGGTGTGAGAGTGGCTAAAGTGATGGACCCTAGGGTCTAGGGCCTAATTCCAGCGACGAACTCATGAGAGTTTCTGATAGCTTGTGCACTGAATTTGTATACAATATCCCTTACTGAGAGTAGTCACTCCCTTCCCTATTCTACAGGATTATGGAGAGGCGAACACTGAAGCTCTGCACCCCCAACTGGGCAGACCGATGATTCTGTCTTGGCTAATCCTGCTATCCCTTTGAATATAATGACTGGTCCAGGAGTAAACGCCAAACAGGCAATCACAGGCCCTTCCTTGTAATTGATATTTGAAAGGGGTGGTGTCATTTGAGGCCACATTAGTTAGGGTGGAAGGCTCTCCAACGTCACCTTTGAACTGAGACCTGAGTAAGTTTGCTTGTTCCACAAAGTAGGAAGTACACAGGTTCTGAGGTGAGACGGGCTGTGCTTGCTCAAGAGATAAGGCTAGCGTAGAGTGCTGTTCCCAGGGCTTCAACCGCTCTTCCTCACTTTCTTAAGCTGGGTAATTCCCGCTCAACCTTCAGATTTCAGCCCAAATATCACTCCCTCAAGCGAAGCCTCTTTGACCTCTGAGCAGGTCTCTCTTCACCCTCAGCAGATGACCACCCTGTTCCTAGAATCTAGGGGTCAGTGTTTTCTATAGTCATAGAGCTAGGAAAGGAACGACGGGATATGGAGTGCGGGTTGGGGAGTCTTAAGGGGCCGTGCAATCACTTCCCGGCGAGAAAGAGGAGCCATCTCTCACCTCCTCAAGCCCAGATCTATGCTCCGGGAGCGACACTAGTGCGCAGAGCGGCCGGTCACAGGGCGGAAGTGCATCCCTGGAGCTGTTCTAGGAAACGCGGAGGACCCAGCTCATCAGTGATCCTGGAGCTGCAGTGGATATCGCCCAGTGCACCGGACCACCCCAGGATGCTGACTTGGCAGACAGCGGGGAGAAGCGGATCGGGTAGGGCCAGAACGCGCGAAGAGCAAGGCTGAAGAGGCAAGCAGGCGCGGGCGTGCGGACCACCTGCCCTCCAGCGGAGCGCGGCGCGCGCTGATTGGCTGGAATGCAGCCGGAAGTGGAAGTGGCCGAAGTCCGCCGCCGGTGAAACCAAGACAACAGCTGCCGGTTCTCTGCGAGAGGGCTGAGCCTCGGGAGCCCAAGCGGAGTGAGCGTGGGGCGGGAGCGGCCTGCGGTGAGACCTCATTCCGTCACGGCGGGGGGAGGAGGGCGCCGGGCTTCCGACTCTCCGGCCCACGAGCCGAGCAGAAACCCAGCGTGTAGGCCCGTTCCTGACCCGAGTTCGCTGTGTGACCTTGGACGTTATGGTCCACCTCCTCCCCGGGCCTCCACGCAGAGGGTGTGGGGCCGGGACACTGCCGGGGTCCATCCCCCCCTGTTGCCGTGGCTGTCAGGGACACCCCTTACGTGGGGGCCGATGGGAGCTGCGGTTTTCTCACACATTACATCCCAAGTAAACTGCGGGGCGAAATGGCTGGCAGTATCAAAAACTTAAGGACCCCCCGGCGGATTGTGCCTTGTGCCTGCAGACAGGATATGGGCTCATGAGGGTTAGTTATGGAAAGGAGACAGATCGGAGAGCAGAGTTAATAGAACCTCCTTGATTGTGTGGACCAGGGGAGGACAGAGGAAAGGAGGGTAGCAGGGCTTTAAATTAAATAAAGATTTTTTAATCCAGGTTGAGATAAAGAACTTATTTTTACAAACAACTGTTTATGTCAGCTGTGTGTCAGACACCGTTCTAGATACAAAGTGAATCTCTTTAGATACAAAATGTATCTCTTTAGATACAAAAATGAATGAGATACCCAGTCAGTCTTCAAGGCTATCAAGGAATCACTGAATAAACATTTTTAAAAGTTCAGTTAACAAATATTTACCAGGTACCCAAAATGTGCTAGGCACTGGGAATACAAGACGAATAGAACATCATCCCGTCTCACCGCTAGATCAAGCAGACATACAATGAGGTAACTGTTAAAAGATGGTCTTAGAGGCAGGGAAGAAAATGGGAGGGGACTGCCTGTACTTGAGCTGACTCCTGTGGATGTTCATTAAGGGCACAAAGTGGCCACTAGTATTCCAGGAAGTGGGAATAACTTTACTTAAATGAAAGAAGCTTTACAGAACATGAAGTATTTGAACTGCAGGACCCTGGGCATGACTGCAGCTTCCAGCAGCCATTGGAGAATGTGGGACAGGAGATGGAAAGGGAAATGGGGGCCTGACCAGGAGGGCATTTTGAGACGTACGAAGAAGTTTTTATTCTGTAGGCCTTGGGGAGCAATGAACATAAAGCATCATGATAACTATAGTACAAAGAAAGAAGTGAGTGAAATGCTGGTTCACAGGACAAAAGAGAACCTTCTTCCTGCAGGCGTTAGTGAAAACTTTGGTGAGAAAGTGATCCTTGTACTAGATACTGAGTTTTTGGTAGGATCTGGCCTTTCAGAAGGTAAGAGAAAGTTTATCAGTTAAGATGCTTTTCTCTGTAAATAACAGACGGCAACACAAGCTGGCTTAAAAATATGCACGTGTATAATTGGAAGTCAAGAGGTAAAGTAAAGTGGTTCGGGACTGACAATCTGGTGGCTCTGGTTCCGTTTCCCTTTGATTTTCTTAGCTCTACCTGCCTTCATACACAAGCTGGTATTGAAAATGGCAATAGCAGTTCCAGGTAACAACATATTGAAGTCTCTTCTGTGGCTCTCTCAGGATGACAGGAAACTTTTCCCAGAATCTCCTAGCAAACTTCCTCAGAGTATCTTCAGCCCAGATGAAGGTGTATGTCCATTCCTGAACCAATCGCTGCTGTTTGGAATAATCACTTCCAGGGGAATGGTGTTAATTTGACTAGGTACCTCAGTCGGGGCTCATTCCTGGAGATCTTGGCTGAGGTCAGATATTCTGCAAAGAGAGCAAGGCTACTGGAAACATTTGCTCTAATACATCACAAAACAACTTGAAAAGTTTTGCATCCCCTTACATATATGTATATATATTTTGGTATCATTAATGTACAGTGACATGAGCAACATTATGATTATTAGATTCCCCCCATTTTCAGGTCCTCACCACATACCACTTTACAGTCACTGTCCATCAGCGTAGTAAGATGGTATAGAATCACTACTTGTCTTCTCTGCTATACTGCCTTCCCTGTGTCCCCCCGTACATTATGTGTGCTAATCGGAATGCCCCTTTCCCCTTACATATTTGTAAGTTGACATCCAAACCATTTCATCATTTTTTCATCATAAATTTGAATAGTTGCAAAGGAGATTTGGTTTATTTTCAACATTCAAAATGAAACCCCTTGCCAATTTCCAGAATGCCTGTCATTGGTTCCACGTGCTCACCACATTCTTTACCCTCTCTGTAACCTCCATTGTTAGCATCACACTCCCACTTCTTTCCCCTGACTTCATTTGCCCCCCTGTCTCACTCAGCCAGCTCAGCTATATCCTGGCTAACGTCCTCCAGTCCCTCACTCCCCCATTCTTCCACCACACATACCCCCAGATTTTAACCTGCTCTGGGCCTTGTCAGAAACATGCTGATGGTTCCTCCTTGCTCATGCTCTCTGGCATGCTTGTCTCAAGGAGTTTGTGGGGCTTTAACAAGCTAATGTGGGTATATTGCTTAGCACACAGCACACAGTGAGCACTTACCATCCCTCTACATCAACATATCAGAGTATCCTCACGTCTCATCCTTTTTCTACCCCTTTTTCTCTGTTCCTTTTCTTACTACTCCGCTTCCTGGCTTCTGAGGCTTTGCTCACTCTGTTCTCTACCCAGAATGCCAGTGCAGTAGCCTTTGACCCAAGGGGGTACACAAATGCTTTCTGTAACATCTGTGGGCATATGGATGGGTGCTGAAATCTGAAGGTTGTTTCCATGTGAAGATGATGTCTATCCTTGTGCACTACTGATCTGCTTGAGAGGGGGCCGGTGGCCTCCAGCTTTCTTTATTCTCACCTTCTCTTTCACAGTTGCTCTTTTCCCCCTTTACAGAAGAAAGACCTGTCACCCATGCCCTCCTTAATTTTGCTTATATCATTTTGGGGAAAAGCCCCTGGAGTGCCACACAAAGGGATAATTTGTTGAGGAAGTAAATGATTCTTGGGAATTTTATAACTGGAGTCCCAATCTTTGCTTTCAACAAAAATTTTAAAAGACCTAATCAGACCATCAACTGATAGTTTATTTAGTAATATTTTTTAAACTACAAATTGCAATATGATTTTGGTAGATAAATTCAAAGGATTAAGTGATATTGCTATCCTAAGAGATTGTTGTAAACTCTGATTTAGGCAGTTTGGGCCACTCGGGTTCAGCCACACTAACTGGGGATACTCTGTTAAGTGTAATGGAAATGTGATTTTTAACTTAGAAAAGTGGATCTAGTCAGTTGCACTATATCTGCCCTGTCTCCTCTCAGAATTTTAGGGTAGAAGAGAGGTATTCAAGATGGAGAGTAGGAGAAGAGAAATCAGAGGAAGAACTGGCAATGTGTCTGTTATCCTGCTGCTTTACACATGTGTTCATCTTGAGGGACCAGACCTGGGTAGAGATAATGCACCAGACTGGTAGTGGGATGACCCCTGTCACTAAGACAGTCTAACACAGTGGCTTCCAGACTTGGTGGGGTGGCAGCATTGCTTGGGGCACTTGTTAAAATATGGATCCCTTGGCCCACCCCTGGAGATTCTGATTCTGAGAGGTCTGAGGTGGGACCTGGAAATTAGTGTTTCAAACAGATTTCCCAGGTGATTCTTATGCCTCCAGCCTAGTTCCAGTCCAAGAGTCATTATTTAAGAATCATTCATTAAAAAAAAAAAAATTCCTGCTATGACTGCAAGTCTGTTAAATGATTTTCAGGGTTTTGTGTGGCTTCCCATATAGGTTTTTCATCTAGGCAATGTGGTCCTTTTGAAGTTTCTCACTAAAAAACATCTTATTTTTAATTGTAGTTGACATACAATATTATATTAATTTCATATGTACAACATAGTGATTCAGCAATTTATATACATTATGAAATGCCCACCACAGTAAGTGTAATCATACAAAGTTACGACAGTATCATTGACTATATTCCCTATGCTGTACTTTTTGTTCCTGTGACATTAATTTTTTTAATCAAGGTATCATTGATAAAGTCTTATGAAGGTTTCATATGAACAACATTGTGGTTTCAACATTCACTCATATTATTAAGTCTCCCCTGCCCACCGCATTGCAGTCACTGTCTATCAGCCTAGTAAGATGCTATGGAGTCATTACTTGCCCATGACATTTATTTTACAATTGGAAGTATGTACCTGTCAATCTCCTTTACCTATTTTGCCCATCTTCCTCACCCCCCCTCACCACCTTGGCACCTCCAGTTTGTTTTCTGTATTTATGAGTCCCTCTGTGTGTGTGTGTGTGTTCATTCGTTTGGTTTTCAGATTATTTCTCCTTGTTAATTAATAGGTGGGTATCTGGTTTATGTATCAATATTTTGTGCATAAGGATTTCTGAGCCTGTTCTCCTCAGGTGCATTGAAAAAAAAAACAACCCCAGGTCTGCAGAGTTGAAGACCCTGTTCTGAGCTGGGGACCCAGTAAAGATCTGCTTGTCACCCTTCACACTGAGCATCAAGAGTGGTCAGCCTCCTCAGGGGGCACCTCCTTATCTCTTTCCAGAAACAGCTAATTTCAGATTTAGGAAAGTAAAGTGAAGAAGTGAGAAACAGAAAGACAGGAAATTATGTTTGGAAATTTAGATGCGGGCTATGAGAAGTGGAGTGTTTTCATGTGAAGATACTGTCTAAAGTGTGGCTGTGTCTCTAGGAAAATCAACCAAATGGAAAGTGGCTCTGATTTGCAGATGGGAAGGTACCTGTAAAGCAATATTTAACAAATGACATTAATATTATGTCACTAGCAGAATGCAAAGTAAAATAATGGTCAGAGGAGGTCGAATTTAGTTGAGGAAGACTTTCTGCATTTGAATTTTGAACCAGGTCTTGAAGCTGAGGTCTTGTTTTACTGTGGTCCTATCATTGCCCCTATGGTGTGGTGCAGATACAGGTTCCATGAGTGCTGACCTTGTAAACAGCTAGATGATGAAAACGAGTAACTACAGGAGAGATGAGGGTGAAAGGAAAGGTCAGAGAAGGGGTTGGAAATAGAAGAGACTGAAGTACCAGCTTGTGGAACTTGCTCTTGGCTGAGTATTAGAGGGAAACTTTTAAAACAGCACTTCCCAATTCAAATGGTACCATGGACAAAGGAGACAGCTAATTCTCTGCAGTGGGTCCTTAGAATTATATAGATATGTATTCTCTATCATTTTCAAAAATTTCAGCAAAAAGAAATTCATTTTTTGGTTGCCCACCTTTACTTTGTGGGAAAATTAGAGAAGACGCTGGGGAGGGCAATTGAAGATTCCAGGTCATTTTGAGGGGTAGCACCGAGAGCTTGCAAGACTTGAGGATTCCAGTAGATCAGGTTCCTCCCAGGTGTCAGGAGAGGGAGTTGCTGCCAGGGCTGCCCTGATGAGTGACTAGAGAGGCCCTGGGGTAGGATGGTTGGTGACTGGAGGCTGGGCAGAGAAGGGCAGTCACCCCAAATCACCACTTTCCCTTTCCCTCACCACTTGACCCCAGTTTCTGCTGCCTCAGGCTCTTCATTTCTTCAGTAATCTCATCTTCTATTTCCTCTTAACCTCTGTCTCTATCCTGCCACCATGCCTGCCAATAGAAACACATTCAAGTCTCTACCATCAGAGAAAAATCCTTTGACCTTTCACACTACTGCCCATCTTGGTCTTCCACTTTCATCCAAAAATATTGAAAAAAACAAGTTTATTAATCAGTCCACTGCCACCTGGCTTCCGCTTCTGTCATTCCACTAAGTTTGTTCTCATGGATCACCTGCGACCACCTAGTTGTCCCAGTGAAAACTTTCCAGGGCTTACCCTACTGGATCTGTCAGTTGCATGTGACACTTTAATTCCCTCTGCCATCACCCTGGTAGCTTCCGTAACCCTGTGTTCTGGTATTTCCTCTACTTCACGAACTATTCTTTCTCTTATTGACAGGCTTCTCTCCCTCTACCCTTCCCTTTATTGTTAGGGTCCAAACAGGAAACAACTCACTCAGATTAGGATAAGTTGAGGAAGGTTTATTTGCAAAAAGGCCAGTATATATAGATGAGGGCAGGCTGTTGAGGAACCTGAGGTTGGCAGCAGTGAAGTGGTCACCAGCCCAGGCCTAAAGAGACGAGGTATGAGAAGTTACTGGAGCCTGAACAGTGAGAGGGTCGGGTAGGTTAAACTCCTTGAGAGGAGTAATGACCTTTACTGAGGGACACCACCAGCTCAAGATGACCTCATAGGAAGGAACTGAGAGAATTAATATCCTGACTGTTCTCTTCTCTCACCTTCCAGCCACCTGCCTCTTGGGAACAGAGTAAAGTAGAGAAAGGTGGAAAGATATAGGAATGAAGGTAGGAAAGGTAGAAAGTTCTGGAAGATAACTGGAGTGCTCTTAAATGTTTGATTTTGCTTTCTAGGTTTCTGGCCTCAGTCTTTGGCAGTTCTCACACTATACTCATTACCATCTATGCTAAGTACTCTCAAATCTGTATCTCTAGGCCTGACCACTGTAAGCTTTAGACCAATACATTCTGACTGATTCCTTGATACCTCTTTATCTTGAAACTTATCTTGTCCAAAACAGAGTTCATCTACCACTTTCCTTCCTAAACTTGCTGCTCCTCCAGGATTCCCAACCTCAGTGGCACCATGATCCGTCCACTTAGCATTTCTCAAATAAATGGAGATCTGGGCATCATCTTTGACTCCTCCCTCTTCCTTACATTTATATCCAGTCATACACCAAGTCTTACAGAATTTGACCTCTTAAATATTTCTCCAGTCTTTCCTCTTCATTCCCACTACTACTGTTGCTCAAGTTAAATCTCATCACCCCTTGTCTTGGTGACTGCATCAACCTTTTAACTGATCTCTCTGCATCTAGGCCTGCTGCTTTCTAGGTAAGCTACTGAATGGCCACTAGTGTACAGCTACTTGAAATGCTAATCTGACCATGGACCGTATCACTCCTTGGCTTAGAAGCTTCCATGTTCACCTTCCATAATTAACATTTTTACTGATGGCAGGATTGTATTCCTCAGATTTGCTGTGGAGCACAAGTGCACTGCCCAAGGCAAAGGGCCACTTCAGTATTAGCTCTGGGTTGCTTACTGCCTGAGCAAGCGCCAGGCTCATTAGCCTAGTATTTGGACTTCACTTCTGTGATGGGGATAGCTAAGTCCCTAGGCCATTGTACTGGTTAGGAATAGGCTTGGCTTCATAAATAAAAAGGCCATAATGACGTAAGCAAGACAAAAGCTTCTTTCTCTCATAGATAAAGAGGTCAAGAGGCAGGCACTCCAAGGCTGGTGTGGCAGCTTCATGGAGTCATCAGAGACTCGGGTTTTTCCCAGTTCTAGTCCAGTGGTGGGGTATGTTGGTATACTCATGGTCCAAGACGGCACCCCAATATCACAGCATGGAAGAGGGTGAAGAAATGCATTCCTCTCACTCTTAAGAAGACTGCCCAGAAGTCCCATGTGCTTTCATTTGTGTCTTACTGGCCAAACCTAGCTGCTTAGCTGAGGAATTTATTTCTTTACCTACCAACATTGCTACACTAAATAAATTAATTATTCTGTTGCTGATGAGGTAGGGAAGGATGGATATTGGGGACATGGAGTGACAACTAAAATTATTGCCACAGCCTTTTACAAAACAAAAATCATGGATTTTAAGATCTAAAAGTATTAAGGAAATTCTATAAAGGGGCTGATTACAGAATTAATATATAAAAATCAACAGCATATATATGTATATCCAAGATAGATATATAAGTAATGACCAGGTAGAATGTACCAGAAAAACTCAGTAAAAGAAGAGACATACAGAGATATGATGGATATAAAAACATCAGGATAAATTTGGAACTTTAAAAAATTATAGTAAACTTTATTTAGAAAAATGTGAGAATAGACAGGAAATACTTAAAAAAGAAGAGAACTTTTCTCTAACCTTAAAATTTTTAATAAAACAACTGTGGGTTGAACAGTTTGGTATTAAAGAAGAAATAGATCAGTAGAACTGGATGGAGTCCAGAAAGTAACCCAAATATGTATATGGACATTTAGATTATGGTATAGGAAGCATTTCAAATCAGTAGGAAAAAGAAAACTTATTGTCTGGAGAAAGTTAAGCTATGCCCTTACTTGATCCAAACGTAAGGGAGCCACAGTTATTTCTGTTCCAGGTTGTCGCGACCCTTCAGGGACCGAAGCAACACGCCCAAGGTCTTGATTCTTCTCTAGGCTTTATTGTCTAATCTCTCACGGCAGTTACAACAGTTGTCGGGCAGCTCTTCTCCCTCCCGGCGGGCTCCCTTATATTCAGTCACCCAACCAATCCGGGACAGTATCATGTGTGACCTTTAAGCGGATAGGTGTCACGCGCCACTCTAAGCGGGCAGCACGAGCTGTGCACGGGTACGGAAGTCTGCTGGGCCAATCCCCAACAGGGAAGCAGGCGCCATCTTTAGGGCATTGTCCAGCTGGAGTGGGGCTCAGCCTCGGCCGTAGGCCGGGCCCCCACACCAGGTAGCGCTGTAAATGGCAACCCCCCCATATACAGTCCCCTGACTTGTAGAGCTGATGAGCACCACAGCGCTGGACTAAGGATATTTCCTCTTGCTACTCATTTTGTGGTTACTTCCTCTGTAAACCCAAGATTTCTATTAATTCATCATTTTTGCCCCTTCTCCCAACCTTTCACATATACCCATCTATTCATATGGCCACCATTTTCCCTAAATATTTTCCTTACCTACCTCAAGTTCCACTTCAACTCACTGTTACTATTGTGGAACTTTTATCATCACTTCTTACCATCCAGTTCCTATTTTTCTCCTTAAACCATTGTCTGATAATTTCTCTCAGTCTTTTCAGTCAGTGTCAGCCATTTGTTTAGTTATGTACACCATAATCCTAAATCTTTTTTCAGCATCATCTTATCATTTTGCCAGATACCAACACTGCTTTTGAGTGCCATCAGATCCCTATCAAAGCTCCATACTCCGCAAGTGTTAGCTTCATTTCAGTATGATATAGCCTTCACATTTGTACCCTCTCTCATTTCAGATTGTGAGATGGGGACTGAGAACAAGGAAGTAATTCCCAAGGAAGAAATTTCTGAAGAAACTGAGCCACATGGCGCAATATTAGAAAAAGTTGCAAAGATGCTCTACCAAGGTCAAAAGTTGGGAGCAGTATGTGAAGACATGTTGGAGAGGCACTCAGGAGAGGCCACAGAAGAGATTATGGAGCAGATGTCTGCCCGGGAGAGGGACTTTGCATCAGGACTGATTGTCTTTAAGAAATCACCCTCAAGTGAGAAAGACCAGGGGAATAATGAGAGCGAGAGCATCCGCAGTCCCAGTCCAAACCTCCAGAAGGGAGGTTCTACTGCAGAGGCAGTTCATGCATTTGCTACCTCTGCCCAAAACTTCATAGAAAATTTAGAATCTAACAAAACACAGAGAAGTTTTGTAGGAGAAAAGCCTCATACATGTAAAGAATGTGGAAAAGCTTTTAATCAGAACTCACATCTTATCCAGCATATGAGAGTTCATAGTGGAGAGAAACCCTTTGAATGCAAAGAGTGTGGAAAAACATTTGGAACTAACTCAAGCCTTCGAAGGCACCTGAGAATTCATGCTGGAGAGAAACCCTTTGCCTGTAATGAATGTGGAAAGGCCTTCATTCAGAGTTCACATCTTATCCACCATCATAGAATTCATACTGGAGAGAGACCTTATAAATGTGAAGAATGTGGTAAAGCCTTCAGTCAGAATTCAGCCCTTATTTTACATCAGAGAATCCACACTGGAGAGAAACCATATGAATGTAATGAATGTGGGAAGACCTTCAGGGTCAGCTCACAGCTCATTCAGCATCAGAGAATTCATACTGAAGAAAGATACCATGAATGCAGCGAGTGTGGCAAAGCCTTCAAGCATAGCTCAGGCCTTATCAGACACCAGAAAATTCACACTGGGGAAAAACCGTATCTTTGTAACGAATGTGGGAAAGGTTTTGGTCAGAGTTCTGAGCTTATCCGGCATCAAAGAATTCATACAGGGGACAAACCGTATGAATGTAATGAATGTGGGAAAACTTTTGGTCAAAACTCAGAGATTATTAGACATATTAGAATCCATACTGGTGAGAAGCCCTATGTATGTAAGGAATGTGGGAAGGCCTTTAGGGGGAACTCTGAACTTCTTAGACATGAGAGAATTCACACTGGGGAGAAACCCTATGAATGCTTTGAGTGTGGAAAGGCTTTTAGGCGGACCTCTCACCTTATTGTCCACCAGAGAATTCATACTGGGGAGAAACCTCACCAGTGTAATGAATGTGCAAGAACCTTTTGGGATCATTCTGAGCTGCTGCTTCACCAGAAAATTCACATTGGAGAGAAACCTTATGAATGTAATGAGTGTGAGAAAACATTCAGCCAGCATTCCCAGCTTATCATACATCAGAGAATTCACACTGGAGAGAAACCCTATGAGTGCCAAGAATGCCAGAAGACCTTTAGTCGGAGCTCTCACCTTCTCCGACATCAAAGTGTTCACTGTATGGAATGACCTGCAAAATGGGAAAGCTTTCTGTGGAGAACTTGAAGTCAGACTCACTAGTTTCATAATGTGCACCCCAAGTTTGCAGATCAAATCAATGGAGAGACCTTCTCTGTCCTTCCATTGGTTTTTATTTAAATGGTTCAAAAGGATGAGGCACTTTTATGAACTATTCATTGAGAAGTTTCAATATACTAAGTTATATCATAAAAGCTGTTTCAGGCCTTAATTCTCCTCTGTCCCTTTTTCCTTCCCTCCCTCCCTCCCCTAGTAGATCACGTACATTAGGGATCTGTACCAGCCATCTACCCTAAACTTACTCTTCAGGAAAAATGGAGGAACATGCATGATTCTACTACCTCCTAAGAATGACAGAGCTGGCTCATTGAATGTTGTCCCCCAAAATGCTACAAAGTCATGGCTTGGAAGACACACCTTTTTCTCTTGCTTACTGTTTAGTACTGGAGTAATTTAGTAAGCTTTTATTAGCTTCAAAATATTCCAAACATGCAGTCACATTTTAGAAGATGGCAGCAGTAATGAAGTGGGAAGCTTGGGTCATTTCACATCTCCTGCTAGACTTCCTCATTCATCTACAGAGGGTACTTTGATGGAGGAAGCTGACAGGCAATTTACAGGATTGGAAGAGAAGGCCCTAGAATCCGGAGGGGCTGATTAGCAAGGCTGGGGGATAAACAAGGCCAGACTGCTCAGCAAGATGGGAAGCAGCCCTTTGGCAGCTCTTCCTACTTGAGGGCTGCTCAGACTGGCTGCTCCCAAGAACTCTGCTGCATTTCCTTCTGGCCTCAGCTCCCGCTGCTGCTGACAGACCTCATGTCAGGGAGTAGCAGAGTGGATGGTGCAGCTTCACCGTCACCTGGCGTCTGGCCACAGTGAGGAGCCAGTTCACCTGACTGACAAGGGCCTTCCTTGCCACAGCACATAAGCTCTCTGACTTGGACCCCTACTGGGGGCCCTGGCTGATAGGCCAGGATGCGATGACCTCCTCTCAGTTTGGCCTTGACCTTGGAATTCTCTTTCTTCAGCACCTCTACATGAGTCTTCTGCGTTCTCCTATGTGTTATTTCTTTGAAGAAACACATCCTCGCAGTAGTGGCAATTGCACTAAGGGGGATCCAGCAGGCCTAGGGTCTGGTCTTATAGTTAGGCCTTGAATAAGGCACTTAGCCTGCTGTTTCCTAACTTTCTTACCTGTAAAATGAGAGTTGAACTAAATGAACTTTGGAGTTTTAACCAGCCCAATAATTCTTAGTTCCTGAAAAAAAAAATATATCTTCAGTGTTCTATTATTTAATCTCTTCTTCATTACACTAATAACTAGTTAATTTACTGTCATTTTGTGCTAGGCACAGTGCCAGTTTACATTTTTATTTTCACAGCATCTCTATGAGGTGGGCAGTCTTAAAAAAACCAGCTTGACTGAGCGATAATTTACATGCCATAAGATTAATCTGTTTTAAGTGTTCAGTTGAATGCCTTTCAGTTAATTTACAGAGTTGCACAGCCATCAATGGTTAGGGTACTCCTACCCCGATCTAAAAGATGAGGAGTATTTACTGTCATTTTGTGCTAGGCACAGTGCCAGTTTACATTTTTATTTTCACAGCATCTCTATGAGGTGGGCAGTCTTAAAAAAACCAGCTTGACTGAGCGATAATTTACATGCCATAAGATTAATCTGTTTTAAGTGTTCAGTTGAATGCCTTTCAGTTAATTTACAGAGTTGCACAGCCATCAATGGTTAGGGTACTCCTACCCCGATCTAAAAGATGAGGAGAGGCAAGGGGATGTTAGGTAACTTTCTCATGACTACACAGCTGGTAAATGCTAGAGCCCCGTCTCCAGCCCTGGTCTGTGTTACCCACTACCTGTGCCATGGATAGGCAGACTGATTGCTGCTGTGTTTGAAACCGTTTGCACTATTTGTATTAGTTGTTAATTACTATGTAGTTTTTAATATAATTGATTTAAATCATGTCCTTGGAAGCATAACTGGTCATAACCAAACCCACAAATTGGGTTTACTTTATGCCGCAATGTGTTCCCATAGGTTCCAATCCTTGGTTGGAGAGAAGGGCTGAATGTATAAACAGCGGACTACACGGTGTCCACACCCTTTCCACCCTTCCTCTGCCTCTGGCAGTTAGACCCTTAGGAGGAGAAATTCTTTGACTTACCTCTTTCCTTGGGGTGGTTACAAGTGCAGGTGCTCTCATTCCTTTATTCTTTACTCGCATTCAAATTGAACTATATCCAGACTATCCGTCTCACAGGAAACCTGGGTGTCACCTATCCTTTTAACTTCGGATTCCTGCATCCCAGTATTCTTTCCACATTCACCCTCTTACCAGCCCTGATAAAGAATTCAGCATGTCTTTAACAGAATTTACTCACACAAACATCCATGAAGAATAGGGACTTTACTGAGGATGCTGGGTAACAGGTGGAGAAAGGAGTTCACATTGTACATCTTATTAGACCTTTTGTTCTCAGAAGTCCCTTGGCCAAAGCACCACTGAAGGTTTTTCTCTTTGCCTTCCCTCTCAGGGCTCAGTCACCTCCTTTTTTCTTGTCATATAGCCAGTCCCTGCCATCCTGGCCCCAGCTCAATGACCTTAAATGCACTGATCAGCAAAAGAAAAAGCCCTTTTTTAGCAATCCACTCAATGGAACATGAAAAGGCAATTTAATGGCCAACTTTTGTTGTACCTGACAGGCATATTCTCAAAGGTGAGGTCTCACATCTCAGTCCAAGAAGAATCTTCATATATAATGTATATAATATGTAACTATATATTATATAATGTATTCATTATATATGCTTTCTTGAGAAATTCTGGTGAAGTTAACTCTACACACTATGCACACATCCTGCAACCTCATTCCCTGCCTTAAGAAGAATCTTCATATATAATGTATATAATATGTAACTATATATTATATAATGTATTCATTATATATGCTTTCTTGAGAAATTCTGGTGAAGTTAACTCTACACACTATGCACACATCCTGCAACCTCATTCCCTGCCTTACTCAGTTATCTCAGGAAGATTTCTCTTTTCCTTCTTTGCATCTCTCCCTCTGTTTACTGGGTAGTCAAAATCTGATGATAATTGAGACTGGTAGTCATAATTTTGTGCAAGTAGAAGTCTATCAAAAGACATGAATTTTCTTAATTTTAGACTGAAAAAAAAAACAGTCCTCACGATCTGAAAGACCTACCTAAATACCCAGAAATACCTTTCAGAATTTTGCAGCTATGTCTGTGTACATTTTCTTCCCAACAATTTTACTGGAATGCTAACACTTTAGGTAAATGTTTGTTTACAGTAATACTGATCTGGTGGTCTTAATATGACTCTTATTAAGAAATGCCAGTTTTCTCCCCACTTGTGAGTTTCACTCCCTTACTAAGTACAGGAACATACTTTGTTAGCTTCTGGTTTTGCATCAAAACTGTTCACTCTGTTCTTGATCTGCTTTGCTTGGTGAGATTTTGTATCTTTCATAACAGGACAAATGTTACATATTTTGTATATATAATGTGCTTCATGACTAACCGTGTAAGATATTCTAGGTTATCTGGATGGTCCAATTAAAAAATTAACTTATTACTGAGATTCCAGGGTTGATGTTTATTGTTTCTGAGATTCATTTTTTTTATGTGTTCTTCTAAGTGACTCCTGGTCTAAGGCAGGTTCCTTAGGTTGTAGGTCAGAGAGCTTTGAGACCCAGGAAAGCTCTGCCTAGAAAGTGTGCACCACCTGAAACCATCCGTGGACCCCTATAGTCCTGCACCTTCCTAGAAGCAAACTTTTCCGTTAAAAACAAAACAAAACAAGATTCTCCCTCATCACATCCCTCAGCTTTTGGGATGAAGCTATGTCAAAACGACCTGCCTGGATGAACCCCTGAAAACGGAGGGACCGGGAGTCTCCATAAACCCAGTGGGAAGGGCGGGGTCGATTTTGGCGATAACCTGAGGAAGGGAGCCTCAGTAGCGTACGTGCACGCACATTCATCAACCACGTGCCTAGTGCCTATGACGGCTTGCGACCTGTGCTGGGTGTGGGGGCTAAGCGCCAAGAGACTGCTGGGGACTCGAAAGACCTAGTGGTCAGCGCTGCAGAGCAGAGAGAAGGCTGAGGTGTTCCCATCAGCTCGCGAAGCATCGGCCCCCGCCTCTGCCCAAGCCCGGAGCTGGGAAGGAGGAAGGCAGCTTGAGGGCTTGTGGACGGCGGCCGACGGGCCCCCACCGTGAACCCCAGGACCCGAGCTCACCCTCCTTCGGCCCCCTGGGCGTCCTTCCCACGTCCTCGTCTCCCGGGGCTTTGTGTGAGTCCTGCAGTACCACCGACGAGAACGCTCATTTTTACTTGTTTGTAACAAACTTTGCAGGCCGCGTTTCCATCTGGTGGACCCAGCTTTGCCAGCGCCCCCTAAGTCTCCAAAGAGTCGGCAAATGCGCTCGTCCGCCACCCTATCTCCCAGACACAGGAGCCCTGCGGAGAAAGGCACCAACTGCTGCCCGTGGGGCTGGGGCCCGGGGGGCGGGGCGCCGCGAGCTGATAGGTGGAGATGAGCGGGGCCCACCTCCCAGCCCCGCGCCGCGGTGTTGGTCGCCCGCGCAGGCTATGGCGCGCTAGCTGGCGCTCACGTGCGCGTTCTGGGGACCACAGGCCGGGACTTGGGACTGTTCTCAGCCGATGCAATTCGTAGTTGGTGGGGGCGAGTCACATCCTTGGGTGGGATTCATTCAGCCGTTCCACCTATATTTTTGGAGTTCTTGAAAGCTGCCCAGCTTCTTTCGGACTTCCAACCAGGCCTAGTACCATCATTACTGAATAAGGTACTATTACATTTTAGTCTAGTTGCAGTGGGAATGGATAGTATCGAGGTACGAGACAGGATTGGCTTTAGGAAGGGGGCAGGCCCTGTGACTTGAGCCTGCCGGATTGACTAAGGAGATAGACGTGGAGGTGATCATTTGAGGCCTTTCGCTAGGGAGGGTGGTTATACATTGGAGTGGGTAGAGGTCTGGGGCAGCTCCTGGCCGGATTACCCAAAAAATCATCAGGAAAGGAGAAAAACGTTTCTATGTCCTTTAGCTGCTGGTTAAATTGGCAGTCTTTAAACTGGACTATGGATGGGGACAGTGAGGGACTTCAGACAGAGTAGGACTATAATACACATTCCTCTCCTGTG